TCACCTTCCCTGTGCTCCTTACCCTCTTCAACACCTTGTTTGGATCCACGTATCCGCTCACAACCACCCTGCTCTGCTTTCTGTTCACCTCCACAGATTTCACCCCTACATCCAACAAACAATAAATTTTTAAACTTTATATCATCACTATGATACTATGTTAGAAACTAGATTTCTTATATATATTATATACATTATAAATCACGTTCTAGTTGATTTGAAACTTCTGAAAACAACAGAAGATATATAAGAGATATGTATTAACTCCTCTTGCTTTGGAACATGCATATCAAACACTGAGTGTATTGCAGCAAACAGAAGAAAATGTTGTATATATTTATATTTAGCATCACCTTTTAGTGAAGTGACTGCATTTCGGACTCTTCTTTCGCAACCATCGCAGTCCATTCTCACTTTGATCTCAACTGTCTGAAATTAACATTTAAAGCAAATCAACGCATGTGAGTAGATGAGAGGAGCAAGGTGAAGGAAGAAGTTGTTACCTGCATTGGTTTGTGCTTGGTCCTAGTGGTGGTTACAGTGCAAAAGTGGGAGAGGTAATCAAGTGCACCCATTTTGTGATGACTGATTGATAGCAATGAATAGGGTTTATATATAATAGATTGAGAGGACTAGTTGGAAAAGCAGTACTTCAGCATTGTATTATATATTATAAACTGTAATTATTAATGGGGACATATGTTCTTAAAAGGTTAGCAAATCTAACGCTGCATTGGTGTTGCCTCTGCCAGGGCCATATTTTATTCACAGTTTATTTTTTTCGATTCTTTATATTTATATTGTCTTTCAGTTTTTCTGTAATGATTATGATTTGCCTTTGGACACTTCACCCTAACATATTGCTCCAATAATGCCTTTTATTATATGATTTTATCCACTGTTTCATTATTGAATGGTTCAATATCTTAGAACCAGCTTATTAGCATTAAGGTTTTGTATTTGTTAGCTCGTGAGTTAGTCTATTCTGTTCTGTTAAAATTAATTATCAAAGTTGTAAGCAGGTTTAAACTAATGAGAAGTTGTAAACAAGCAATTATTTTCTTTCCTCAACCAAACCATGATATAAAGCTCCCATTTTGCTTCATTCCTGTAATTTTATGTTTATATTAATTATGGTAGATGGCCGAATATGGGCATTATTGAAGTCCGAAAGAGATAAGAATGGTGGTAAGATTGAAATATATAAATAAAAGAGCGGCGCAACGGCGGGAGGAAGGAAGAAAATGGTTTAATACTTTCCGCAAGAATAATATTGATTAATGATTATGGATCCAATCCCAAAGCAAATGGCACAATGATTTACTCGATATGTTATTGCTTGTTGCCTACCGAAAGTTTAAAGTTGTTCTTCTTTAGACCCACATCAAACAGATGGAAAGGGATAGAAGAAAAACCGTAATGCGCACCATCCAAACACTCAAATTTTGTATTAGTTAGATCTGTTTAAGTGAGAGAAATAAATCTTGCACTGTGCCACCTTTTCATATGCAATGAGCTTGTAATTTAGCTAGCTGAAATAAGTATATGTTAATCTATTGTGGGAAAGCACATACACAATGCACAGCTTGATAAAATATAAAATCAGTCAAGAAAAACGCATAAATAAAAAAATTTAACATGAAAATAAAAATTTAAATAATTTCAAAACAAAATCGATTTCCTAAACAGCTAAAAATTAATTTAAAATATGCCTTGTTTGACAAACCACCCTCATAATTTCTTCAGCTTCTGCCCACGCAGTCCATTCCAGAAAGCAGCTGCATTTACTGCCTTTTTTCCAGGAAGCTGAACTTCCAATACCTGAAAGAGTTAGTGTCACTGATTCAGAAAGGCATATTTGACATGCAAGAATTTTGAGCTTTCATACCTATACTAAATTTGTGTACAAAAAGTGTTCTTATTTAGACTGAAGAGCAAGTGCTTCCTTAATGCTTGCTCCTCGTGATATAAAAGAAAAACACTGGTAAACTGTATCTCAGAAAGCAAGTAATTTCAAACTCGAAGATTTTGTATTTTCTAGTACGAATGCTCTTTCAATAAAGTGAGGATATACAATTCGCATTCCCAAAGACACTGCTCTTTCATCTGATATTATTTGTTTCAATTCTTTTTTTGAAAAGGTAAGTAAGATTTATATTAAAAAACTGTTAAAAAACACAACTGTCATTAGCCAGGCAAGAATTACAATCATAGAATCCAATCCCTATTGGATGAGACAAACACGTAATCATAGAAAGTACAAAAGCCTCTTGAATGCGTTACAGGAGTTTCCATTTTTATAGTTGACATTAATTTCATAGATAAATACATTTCCTGTTGATTCCAAGATGCAAGACGGTCAGAGAATTTCAAAGAGTACTTGGGCAAAATGAGAACAAGAGGGCGGAAATTTCCCATTTTTTATGGAAACTCGTGCATGAAATATATTTAATAGCGATTTTCAGAAAAAGATAATTATTAAGCAGCAGCTTCAGCATAAGGGAATATATACAGTCATAAATTTCAAAAGGTAACTGGTTTCCACCCATCATCATCTACCTAGGTGGTGCAAACATAATACAAAAACGTACCTCAATTGTGGTACCCCTTCCACATGGAAATAACAACGCTCCGTCAACAAATGCAACATCATCTGCTTCATTGAACTGCACACTTTCATGACTGCTAAGTCGTGTGGTTATAATTTTAATATCCAAAGTTTTCTGCTCACCATTTTTCTCAACCACTAACACTCTTGCTCGAGTTCCTGGCCACCCTGAAAAGGCACGAACCTAAAATTGTTTTATGTCACAACTGTGCCCTTCAGATAAGATCAAGAAGTTTACCTTATTGTGTAGAACATATGCTTCTTCATCAAAGGATAGCCATGATTCATCTGAGTTTATCTGCATAGAGTAGAAAAAAAATGAGCAACTCCTTGTATATACCCGAGTGTTTTCTTTTCCTTATGAATAATGGGATGTTTACTGCACTGAACAGAAAGGCACGTAATACAAACCATCACCAATTCAATCTTTGACATTCACAGGTTTTCTAACTGAACTACAGCTAACTGCTAAATGAAATCATGTGAACATAATCAAGGCTCACATACCTTAGGAGCCAATATAGCCTTAGAGTCATCTTGAGGTTGAGCCTTTAATATTGCTGATCCATCAAGTATCGAAGGAAGTTCCCTAATCAAAAGTTCAGATCCTGTTTTGTCAAATAAAGGTAGGAACTCAATCAGTGTAGAACACTATCAAAATGCCCAAATAAGAATACTTAGTACAGAGATCACCAAGAGAAAGGTACACAGAACGACAAAAATGGAACAATCATACCTTTATGAAAGAGGAGCTCAAGCAAATCAGGTGCCTACACAGAAATCTAAAGTTTTGTCAGAAGCAGGGAGAAAAAGTATACCAGCTTTGTAAGTTTTACCAAACAAGTTGACAGGTATGATTAGAGGCAATCCATAATGCTAAACCCATAAAATTTTAACGTATGTTCTAATCACGAACCTGAAATACTATTAATACAATTAAGGGAGATTGTAACCCTTGATATAATATGCACCAATTTTACATATCCAAACAAGTAGAAACATTTCAAATTTAGGTTACAAATGAAGGATAAAGGTTATATGGAAAAACACTTATCTTCTTTGATATATAAATCAAAGGGCTGATGATGCATTTCCATTCCATTCATACCAATTGTAGCGGAGACGGACAAAGAGAAAACATACCTTTATTTGATCATCAACTTGAATTGTTTCAGTAGCAATGATAGGTCCAGCATCGAGAGCACGAACGGTGAATGCTAATGACACTCCAGTTTCTTTAACACCATCCTAGTGTACAAATCAATATAAACCACCAGCAAAGTAAGTTAATGAAATAGAAACATTGAGAATCTAGGGATTGACGAAATAATTGGGGGGAACCTGCAATGCCCTTTGAACAGGAGCAGCGCCACGATACAATGGCAGCATGCTAGGGTGAATGTTGACTGTTCCTGAGGTATTTGCAAATGGAAAGGTGTCATAGAGGTCTTAAGATTTAGCAATAGAATGGCTGGCAATAGAGGAGGGAGTGACAAACCCAATGGAGGAATATCTAGAAACTTGGTAGGTAATATATTGCCATAGGCAGCTGTAATGCACAGGTGAGGTTGCAAAGCTTTTAAATTTGACAAGAAAACATCCTGAAGGAATTGAATTGGATGAGAAAGAAGCAAATTTAGGAAAAGAAACGCAATAAACAGAATAGGATAGAAAAGCTAGGTACGTCTCCAGCTTTATCGGGAGTGAAAATGAGATCGGGGGAGAAGCCCCTGTCAAGAGCATGAGTGGCCAAGGGAGAGAGGGCGAGCTTCTTGCCCCTGTCCCTTCTAGCAGGTGGCTGAGTCACGATGGCCGCAACCTGATGAATTGCATACACAGTGTAAACATGGAATGAACGTTGAATTACAAGAAAATGGCGTGTGTATCGGATGAGAAACCTCGAATAAAGAATGTGGAGAAGCAGAAGCGTTGAGAAGCGTGTCAAGGACTATGGCGGAGACCTGAAAAGCAGAGAATGAAGTGAAACAGAAAAAGTTGAAGAAGGTAGCATGAGTGCTCGGAGAGATAGAGAGAGACCTGAGGTGCGCCCAAGAAGACAAGGGGCTTCTTGGTGGTTGTGGAAGCAGAAGAGAAAGGGAGGGAAGGAGAGACGCTCTGCAAACAGCACAACCTACGAATCATGGTGGTTGCGGTTGTGGCTGTGGCGGTTGAGGGCATAGAACCACACCACCTGTAGCTATGCATTTCTACTTCCCTTCCTTCTCTCTCTGTCTCATATCACAATTATACATAATTTTTTTAATCAATTCAACATATTAAAAATTAAAAATAGTAAAGGTAATTTTTTTTTAAAATGGTTTACACAAGAAAAAAGAAAATAAATAATTAATTAGCTAAATATTAATTTTGAAAAAGAACCGAATTGAAACCCCTCTCTCCCCTTTATCTTATCCATCTCATTCTCACTCCTTGGTTTGCAGAGCAGGGGTAAGTAACATAGCATAACAGACATGGCTGTTTCTCTGTCGGTGAACCGTCCTCTCCTTCGTCTTCACCACAAGCATCCACCTTTACCTGTGGGCATCGCTCCCCAACTCCATTTCCACTGTCAGCCCAAGCTCGCCGGAATTCGATGCTCCTCCTCGCCCTCCCATTTTACCGACAAAACCCTCATTTCCATCAAACCTAACACTTCCCACATCAATGACAACCCCCTCGCTTGTCGCTTCCACGCTTCCCAGTTTGGAGGTGCGCTCTTTCTCTTTCTCCTTCTCCTTCTCCTTCATTTTTATTGACCCTTCTCCATAGCATGCTTCTTCTATTTCTCTTCTGATTTCAACATCGCAACCCTAACCTAACTATTTACTTACTCAATTTTCTTGTTTGCGCTCCATTTACGTCAAATATTAGCCCCAATTTATTCTATTACAGTCTAATGTGCCTTCTTCTCACCATATATACCCTTCATTTAGATATATTACAATCGGCAGGGTCTCAAACGGACCTTTTTCTTCATATTATGTGTGCTTCTTTCATCTTGTTTCCAGGGGTAAAATTCAGTAATCAGTATTGTATTGTGAATTCCCAATTTCACAATTATGAATGTTTATTTGTCAACATGGTTTTATTCAGCAATCAGTGTTCTGTTGTCAATTCCCAATTCCTATGGCTGCGTAATGATTTGAGTTAGTATTGGTTGAGAGTTCTACAAGTTTTAACATCTGCATTAGTTATCCATGGGGCACGTCAACCACATCTATCATCCGGTGCATTCCAACGCCAATCGGATGCCTTTGCCTCTCATACACTTCTTGAGACTGTTTTTCAACTGTAGCATAAACTTAGTGGCGATTCTTTAATTCTTGAAAGTTTCTGTAGCTTTTAATTAATGTTCAATAAATTGGTTGAGGCGTATATATATATATATATATATATATATATATAGCATACCACCATCAGTTCATGTACGTTTCCTTCAATTAAAGGGTGACAGTTCTTCCTAAATGTTGGTGTGTGAAATGCAAAGAAGACATGAGTGACTGACTGAAGAGTATGAGGTCTTTCTGAGTCTCACTCTCACACAAACAAAGGCTTACATTAGAAATTTTAGGCTGTCAAATATTTAGCTTTTTACATTTTACGGGTCTAGTTGTATCTGGTTAGAGATCTGCAGCTTAGAAGGAATTGGGAAAACATGTAACCGATATTTAAATTTAATGCTGGTGCAGGACAGGAGAGCAGCAAATCCGTGGAAGCGTACGCTGTTGGGCGAAACATTCGCATGTCCGCTAATAAAGCTCGAAGAGTGATCGATCAGATTCGTGGACGAAAATACGATGAAACACTTATGATATTAGAACTCATGCCTTATCGAGCCTGTGAAGCCATTCTGAAGATAGTGTTTTCTGCTGGAGCAAATGCTACCAATAACCTGGGTTTAAGCAAGGGAAGTTTAGTTATCAGTAAAGCAGAGGTTAATGAAGGAAGAACAATGAAAAGGGTAAAACCTGTGGCTCGAGGGCGTGCTCATCCAATTAAAAAGCGCACTTGTCATATAACCGTCACTGTAAAAGGCTCACCAAGTGAGTCCATCGTGGAAGCGAGCCCTGCATAATCCTTTTCGGACTAAATGTATGTACGCCTTATGATGAGTTAGTTCCCTTTACCCATTGTATTTGATCAAAATTTCTGTATTTCGACATTATGTACTTCATTTATACCGTGTGACTTGACTTGTAGAGGAGTGATGAACATGCTTAAATATTCAATTTAATTAGTCCTGAAAATGAATGGTTTTGTATTGCAATTTGAAAAAAATAAATAAATTTGACATTGCTAATACTTACCAAAAATAAGTAATGTAGATTCAGCATCCAGCACTAAGCAAACAATTCTGAGTTACTAAAGTTAGTTCCTTCTATTGGTAATGTATTACTTAGTACATGTCTGATATCACGGTGGATATGAAAGGAACCACGTTAATTCTACTGAAACCATTTTGGATTCAAATTTAAGAGTTTGATTGTCAAAGAAAAATCAAGTTGTCTTTTTAGGAGTTGTATTTTCTCTAGGTTGTCCTCATCTCATAAATTTTGCTTCATCTCTTCCTTCTCAAAGCAGTCTAGAGATGGCTTTGATCATCCAAAATGATCAAATTAAACCTTGTTCTGAGCACCGTCTCGAGACCTTCCCTTGGCCACTCTTGATATTACTCTGCTTTTGTCCAGCCGTGTATGACCTCCATTGCTAAATGGGTATGTTACCTAACCATGAAAATGAAGTTTTGGTTTGTGCGATTTTGAGGGATAGAGAACTGTGAATTGGTTGCATTGTAGAAGAACTAGTGCATCTTACTACTATTATCAGTAACAATGGACAGAATCCAATATCATACACAAAGTACTAGTGATGGTTACTAATTTCAGAAATTCTTATATTGTCTAGGCTAATTTAATTTGAATGACTTGAAAAGTACTTAAGGGACAAAGAATGGAAGTGAATGAATGCTTAGGGTTATAGTTTTCCTTATGCTCAATTCTTTTCTTAATTTAGTTTCCAATAATGAACCCCTGATCTATTTTGTAAATACCAATTTTTCCTCCTTGATATATATACTTTTAATTATTTATCATGAAATTAAAATATTTTTCTCAAATTAGTTTTTTCGTTGAAAACCTAATTCAAATAAATGATAAAGCGCATAAAGGAGGACTAATTTATCTAATTGGAAATTAGGATTGATGGTTGGTTATTCATTCAATTAAAAAATAAATTTAATTGAAATTGGAAGAACTTTCATATTAATTAAAGAAAAATCAAATTATAATATATAAATTGATATAAATTTTATTTTATAGGATTGAATTAAATTTAAACTTCATATATTAAAAATATGATAATCAAGTTAGAATCTAAAAGATAAATAAAGTTTCACCTTTTGCTTGACGAAATTTATTGTACTTGTAGATTTTTCGCAAGTCTTTTAATTTTAAGCAAACTTCTGTAGTTAAGATAAAAACAGTTAGGTAATATTTTAAACAGGTTTAAATATTTCAAATAATACTTAAAACTAATATTCCAGCCACTAAAAGATATTCCAACTCTTTTAACCTTTTTTGACTCATGGAGTAATGATTTCTTGAATACTAAAACAAAATTGTATTGCCAAAGACCATGTATTCTTCTTCATCATTGCTTGCTACTTCGAGCCTTGTCAATAGGTTGAAAATCTCCACATAAGGATTTATAATATATTTGTTTGTTATAATTAATTGATTTAATATATATATATATTTTAAGTGTAATATTTTAAAATTAAATTAATATCTTTAATTTTCGTAAAGTAAAATAAGAAAGGAGTATTTAAAGTAAAAAGAAAAAAGGAATTACAACTTTTATAAAATTATTAATATTTTACAAACTTGTTAAGTATTATAATAACTTTAATAAATTTATTAAGTTAGCTGCGTAATATATGGAATAATGTATTAAATTAAGTTAGATAAAATTGGTAACGAAATGACATGTTACAATTATTTATTTTCTAAATACATAGCATTGTTGAAAATATAATTTGTATAATGAAACTTTGTGATTTAAAAGTTATAACATTTTAAAGAATTTAACAGTGAGAACATTATTTGGTAATAAAAATTGAAAATTTAAGTTATAATTTAAATTAATGATTTAAGTTAATATTGTAAACATGTACTTATTTTTTGAATTATTACAATTTCATTAGGCATTGGAATAATTAAATTGAAATTTAAAATAAATATAAAAAATATTATTTATTATATAAATACAAATTAAACAAATAAATTCATAAATTTACTAATAATAAAAGTATTTTAATTATTTAGTTAGTTTAATAACAATTTTTTTTAATGATATTTGGGAAGGAAAAAAAATTGTAAGTTTAGTACCTTGGAAAAAAATTCGAGCTTTCCATTGTCAAGGATGAATTTTACAGTGTGTTGAAAAGCCCTAGCATTCCATCAACTGAGCTGCACTTTCTCTTTTGCAATGGCATTCTACGGAGCCGCAAAACGTGTTTGTGTTTTCATAAGCCGGAATCGTTCGTATTCTTCGTCGGCGTCGGAGAACGTGAATCTGATAAAACAATTGCGAGAGAGAACAAGCGCTCCCATCAAGGACGTTAAAGCCGCTCTGGTGGATTCCAATTGGGACATCGAAGCTGCTCAGAAGGAGCTCAGGAAAAGGGGAAAAGTTTTGGCTTCCAAAAAATCGTCTCGAATCGCCTCCGAAGGTTTGCTCGCCCTCGCCCAAACCCCCGCCAAAGTCGCTCTCATCGAACTCAACTGCGAGACCGATTTTGTTGCCCGAAACGATATTTTCCGACACTTGGTTTGTCTCTTCGTGTTCTTCATTTTTCAATTACCCCTTTTTTTCACACACTTCTCACTTACTCTCTTCTTCAATCCTCAGGCATTGTGTTTGGCAAAGCAAGCTTTGTCGCTCGATAACTCTTCTTCTTCTTCTGCCTTTCATGTCGGACCTCAATCTTTGCATGTACGTTACATAACGCTCTCGATGTTGTTGCAATAAACCTCTTTTATACAAATGAACTGAGTTTCCTCGTTTCCTAAAATCCTCTCAAGCTACGAGGTTGTTACGGCATGTGTTTATTGACATAATCGCTTTCATTTGCCAGGACACGACGTTGAATCTTGAGCATCCAAAGATCAGTGGAGAAACAACCGTTCAAAATGCAATCACTGAAGTGGCTGCCATGATGGGGGAGAATGTGAGGCTTAGAAGAGGTTATGTCTTGCCTGCTTCCTCCAACGGTTTTATATCTACGTATCTTCATACCAGTCCCCAACATGGTAAAAATTCATTCCACTTCTTGCTTTTCTTCCTTTTACTTTCTGCTCTTCTCTTACAACTCTTTTGCCACTCTTGCTTTGCATGTGAAACGTTGGGGCGCAATGTATGTATTTACATGCATGAAGTTGTTCGAATGAGATCAATTACATTTTGTTTTACTATATCTTGTGCTGAGTACCAAATGCTTTGTGGTATCTAGAAACTTAACCCTATAAAGATCCTGACTCTCTCCTGTTTGATTAGGTTTGGGTCGCATTGCTGGAATTTTATCCCTTGAAGTAGATGACGGTAAAACACAAGTGGAAGCTCTACAGCGTGTTGGATCAGAATTGGCCATGCATGTAGTGGCAGCAAAGCCATCATTTTTAACAAAGGAACTCGTGCCCTCAGATGCTTTGCAAAATGAGCGGGAAATTCTTAAATCTCAGGTATAGGTTGATTTCTTTTAGATTGAAGCTCAGGCCCGTGCTGAATACATGAATCGTAGTTAATATGGCATTGCTCGGCTTCTGTTTCTTTTGGTCTTTAAGTATTACTTGAAAATCTGTCATTTATTTCAGCAATCTAAATTAAAGAAAAGTACTTGTAGAACTACAAAAGAGGCAAGCAAACATGACCAACAAAAATAGCAAGCTGTCATAACAGAAAATTAAGCTAACACCCTCTCAGATATTGTATGAATTGTTCTGTGCTAATTTAATTTTCTTGTTTCCTTATATAACGTTTATTTTCTCATGAGGGAGATAGGTTTGAAAGTTGCGATGCTTTCATTGATGCAACAGACCATATGGCAAATGACAAAGGCCTTAAGTGTCTTACCAAGGACTGTTTAAGATGGCGTTGTAGGTTTAATCTGCCTTGTAGTTAATTGGTCTTAACTATATTTCAATTGGCAAGGAATGGTTCAATTGGGAAAATGGACATTTGAACTAGTTTCTTTATGAACTGTGGCCATTTACACCTGTACAAGAATGATAACCTTCTTGTGCATAAACACGGTCCTTTTTTCATCCACCTTTTTCCTGCCATAAATAAATATATGCCTGGATTAATAAGTATTTAGGGTTGGCCTATTTAGACCAATTCAACTCTTGGATTGATAAACCAAAACTTCTCTAGCAATTACAATTCAGAATTGGAAGAAAACTTTGTTCAGCAATTGTAATCTGCCCGATGTTTTATTGGATTTCTTAATTCATATACTTCATATGCTAAAGTTCCACTTTCTTTACCAATATTTAGAAACCAAACGAAAATTTAAACTCTTACTATGGTTTAATTATTTCAGGCAGAATCCTCTGGTAAGTCTCAGATGGCCATAGAGAAAATGGTTGAAGGACGACTACGCAAGTATTTCGAGGATGTTGTATTTATGGACCAAAAGTTCATTATGAATGACACTATGAATGTGCAGGTATGTGAATTGAAATGGATTCATTTGTGATTTATGTCAGGGTGGAATTTATGATGGCTATAGCCATATGGTGGTTGTCAGTGTGAGTACTTGTTGTGGTGTTTACAATTCTTGGTAAGGTTATGGTGGCAGCAAATGCATTCATTATTCGTTACCATGTTTGATACGAGAGATTAAAAAAATTGTAAACAGCCCCTGCATCAAGTTATAGATCGCCTTAACTTGTGAATTTGGCGAAAAGTGACAATTATGATGTCTTCACCATTGAAAAAGGCAAAAGAGAGGCGCACTTGAGAGTAAGAGTTGGGTTGCCTTTCTTCGAGATGCCAGACTTATTACCACATTATTGGATTTCTACTTCCTTTTATGGTTGAAACCTTTTTTTATTTGGACTTACATATAGCCCACATGCCCCAATAATCCAAATCATCTCAAAATAGTGATGTCTCCTTCACTCCGAGTTTATGATAATAATTAGGAAATGAGAAACCTATATTTGCTGCTGGGAAGCTGAAAATTTCTTCCAAGCAAATATGCAGTATAAAACTGTGGGTAGCCGTTCAAAGTTTCAAACTCTAGGTTGGCCTTAGTATGTTTCCGGACACTAATCAGAAAATGAATGTGTTTTATTGTTTTCAGTGCCATTAAGCTTTTTTCTATATTTCCAGGATCACAACCCTGATGTAGAATTTCATGATAAGCTTCCTGATTGTCTTTGACTAGTAGCGTTATAATGTATTTAATGGAATTACGAAGTGCATACTCTTTAGATGTGTATTTGCTATTTATGTGTGTGTAATGCTGTGTGCCTTTTGTGAAGCATCCATCTTGGACCAATTTGTTTGTTTAGTAATTGATTTCTAGTATCTCTCATTCTTCTTTGCAGGCGGTGCTGGATAATCTATCCAAGGAAGTGGGTTCATCTGTGAGGGTTGTGAACTTTCTCAGAATGGAAGTTGGGGAAGGAATTGAAAGGTAAAAACCAGTACATTTTTGGATAGTCTTTTCCTATCTTATTCTAAATTCCATTTATGTACTGTTGAAACGAAAATGATTGCAATTGTCCTTTAGTTTAAGGGTTTAACCAAAGTATTGTAGTTTAGTTGGTGGCGTATTACTTTAGAACTTATGTTTTTGCTTGTTTTCATCATGCTGTAATTACAGAATTTGGGATTAAAGTGCATAAATAAGCTTTTATGCTAGCTAATTGAAAGTGTTAAATTTCTCCATTTTATATGATCATGTATACAACCTTGAGTATTTTTTTACCTCACCTACCTAAAATGATTATGTCTTCATACCTAGAAACTTCAGGATCATTTCGGCTTTGCAGCATCCTATCCCTGACTGACCCACCCAATGCTCCCAAACAATTGAAAATAAAATTGTTGATTAAACTCCTATTATGTTTTTTTATGTCTGAGAGTTTATTTGCATTTACTTTGGATTGAATTAACAGTTTTACTGGCCATCTACATTTTTCAGGCAAGAAACAGATGCATCAGAGACCGTCGCTCAAGTTGCGTAAGTTTAAAGAAATTCTATCTATTATTCGGGGAGGAAACCCTCTGAGAGCTCTACTTTGTTTTTAAGGCTTTTGCTCTCTAGCTGATTATATTTAAACATGTATGTTCCGATATTGATCCAGCGATTAGGTACAGGATTCGGTCGAAAATTTTGCTCGGTAGTGGAATCATAAATGATTTCTGTTTGACTGCATTACTTTGTTCTGGGCTCTCCTGATCCCACAAAAGAAGTTGAACACATTAGCGTGGCTCTCAAAATAATAAAGTTATGGTTTTATATCTTGAGTTCACAGTTTTCAATTTTATTTTCAGAGCTACATATTCGTGTTTGCATAATGTTGTGTTTTTAATTTTAATCCCATCTTTTTAAGTGGTTTAAATCTAGCGTCAATCCCATTTTCAAAGCAAGTTTTGCTCATTAATATACTGCACTTTGAACGTTCTATATACTATGTTTTAACTATTTATAGTGCATTTGGACGCACGTTTCGTGGCCCTGGTTTCGATCCCAACTAAACGTTTGGCTACTGTGGAATATGGGCTGTTTCTTCACGCATCTCCATGACTTTTGTGATACTCCTATGATCTAAACAAAAGTACTGTATCTCTATTTTTTTTTTGTACTATTCTTTAAAAGTGTTAAATGAAATACTTGAGTAGTATAATCGGAAACTTAACATTATGCCCTGCTGGGTAATACAAGTCCGCAGTTATAATGGGTCGACATAACTGGATTGGATTAACACAAAAAAGTGTACTCGTGTTATAGTTTTTGTAATAGTTGATTTGGGTTATTTTTTATTCTGGAAAAGGTGATCCAGAATTCTTTTACTTTAGAAGAGTTGATCCGAAAGAATTTTGAGTTTACTGATGTTGTTCTAAAGTCAATATCTGCAAATAGTACTGTACTACTTTAAACAAAAATATGGTAATGTTCTGAACTCTGTTGTCATTTTACCTGTATTGATTAATTGAACCATTTTTCTGGTTTATGAAGTCGCAATGGATCAGGAAAGTTCTTACTGCGTGTACATTGTGATCTTGCAAGTCGTTTTCTACATTATCTTATATAATAATACACTACACAGGGTGTGACGATTGGAAAATGTGGTAGCGCGCTACTGCTATTGCTTCCGCCCAACTTTCCGTTCCAACTACTTAATGATTTAGCATACTAACTCTTTCGGAATCAATTCATGCACAAACTAAGCAAATTAATTTAGTACTTAAGAAGGAACCACGAGACTTGTCATCATCACGCACGCAAACCCAAGAGAAAAATAATGCAAAAGGAATGAAGCCAATTAGTTTATGATCCCAATGGCGTAGGAAACATGTGTAGGTAATCATGAATATGAGTTCATAGATGAATGAGATGTCATCCAACAGTCTATGGGATGGAGAAATAAACATATTTATTTTTTAAAAACAACTTAGAAGCAAGCATAAGACTTCCTATTTATTGCAATCACGATATAATTCTGTTCATACGTATCACAGAGATCATGCTTTTGGAAAAACGAGAGACGAATGATGTTATGAATATTGTTTATGATTTATCGACAAGCTAACCGACACGGTCACCGCAAATGACAATGTCACATAAAGCTTCGAAGCTAGTGTTTTACAAATTGTCAATTCCGTAAATTCACATGCATTGATCAAACTTTTTGCGTCCAAAAGTATACATAGTATAATATAATAAATAAAGTCACTTCCTTATTTTGTGCGGAAGGCACAGCAGATAATGGGATTTGTCATCTGTGCTGAAGGAATAATTGCACACCACCTGTGACGTGACTATTATAATAATAATAATAATAATAATAATAATAATAATAATAAGGAATATTATTGCATTTGGGTTTCACGCGTACACTGTCATGGCTACAGATCAAAAGCTTCCGTCTCTAAACATATAAAAGAATAAGTAAACAAGTTATCAGATACAACACGAAAATGCCACAGAAGCTTCTTGTTGGCACTAACGCGGACTCTGTTACAATGTCAATTCTATGTGTATTTAATTAACTTCCTCCTTTGAATCTCAAATTTCTAACTATACTGTTTCACATCACATTTTCTCTTGTGTGTATATATATATATAGACTGAAAGTTGAAAGCCTGATATAAACACACATAGTTATTATCTGTGTTTGCATATAAGCAAAGTTGAAGATGGGGAATTACATTTCATGCACTCTATCAACAGCAGGGAGCAAGCATTGGAGAGGAATAAAGGTGATATTTCCAAGTGGGGAGATTGAGGAGTTTGAAGAAGGAGTTAAAGCAGCAGAACTCATGCTTGAGATGCCAAGCTTCTTTGTGGTGAACACTCGGTCTCTACAGATTGGACAAAGGTTTTGTGCACTGAACGCAGATGAGGAGCTTGAGTGTGGCAATGTTTATGTGATGCATCCCATGAAAAGGCTTAATTCTGTGGTCAGACCATCTGACATGGGTGCCTTGTTACTCACTGCCAAAAGGGTCACTGCAAAAGTGAGAGTTGTTCCTGAGAAACAAGTGGAGGAGCCCAAGTTCAACTTTGACGACATTGAAGAGTTTTCTAGCCCCGAGTTCGTGCACAGGTTGTCCATCACCAGGTCAAAGAAACCTTTGCTTGAGACCATAGCAGAGGAACCGGTGTGTGCCAGATCATAATCAGAAGGCCTCATGTGGAGAATACTTCTCTGCAGGACCAAGTCCAGATTGTGGCTTTCTTGTGATTATGGGACATCAATTACTTTTAGTTTCTTTTTTCTTCATTGTGATTGGAATTGTATGTATTACTAAAACTAATTCAAGACATTAGACATGGAGTATTGTTAGACCATTCTTATATTCAATTGTTAGATTTCATTGCCATAATCTTCAATTCTGTTGTTGTTGGATTTTAGTTAGAATTGAGAGCGAAATTGAATGATATTTGTTAGATATATTAAGTTTTATGTTAACATGAAAAAAATTTCTTATATTAATTATGTTGTTTTTTTTTTACATAATTAACACATGAACATTTATCCTATTCGGTAATGATTCAAAGTATTGAAGTTGTTTTTTTTATCTTCTTTTTGGATCTAATCTTATTGATTCGATCAGACTTTTTTTATGTTTTAAGATTTTTCTCTCTTTCTTCACGGTGTTTTTTGGTCTCTCTTCTACCCATGAGTCTTTACTAATTATGTCCATGCGCACTCGTTTAATGATAAGTTAGATGACACTAAATAACCTTATAATTACTTGTTGTGACATTTCCTTTGTAGTCACTATGATAAGCCAATTTCTCAATTTGTCATCTAAAGATCATTTAAATACAATAATCTGTATATTAAAGTACATTAAATAATTTTTTAGAAAAGAGTTATTATATGGTTTCAATAACCATTCAAAAGGTGTTTTCTATTAAGACGTTGATTAGGCAAGATCTCCCTGTGACAGAGGATCCACTTTTGGGTACTGTATGTCCATTGGTGGTAACTTGATCTATTAGAAAAATAAAAAGCAAAGTATTGTGGCAAGATCTAGTACATAAACATAATATAGAGTTATGGCTTTCAGCCACTTCTAAAACTTGTTTGACTTAAACAATTGCTTAAAAAATTATAATTTAGAGATGTCACTTAAATAATGATACTTATATATGACAATCGGATTGCTCTTGATATAAAGTTCTAATCTTATTTTTCATAGAAGTTCTAATCTTATTTTGTACAAAAAATTGATTATCATTTTATATAAAGACATCAAAAGACTAAGTTTATAAACTCAAATAATTAATTAACAAATATGTCATTTAAATCTTTACTAAAATAAAAAATTAATTATATTTATAACAAATTTGATACATACCATTTATACCTATCAACTTAGAAGAGAATGTTATATATTACATTAATTAAAAAAACATGTTCATATGTTATTTTTTTACATCTTCGTTTGTGAATGAATTTAACCCACGTTCTCTACATTATAAATATATTATCTTATTTATGTTCTTTATATAAGGGAGATTAACCATAATACTATTCATTTCTCAAGATTTGATTATGATTACCAGATTGAAGGAATGTGAAGTTAGATGATGGTCCGTTCAGAAAACAACTTGAAGGCTTTCAATTATCAAAGTAAAATCAAAGGAAAACATTTCCCTTTCGTTTACGCGTTTCTTGTTGTCTGTGGACATCGGGTGTATTATTTGACTTCTCAACTTATCACATTGTTCTTGTTTTTTCAACGAGTACAGCTGAAACTTCATTAATATAAAAATATTATATTCAAAGATCAAAATGTCATGAACTTAAAATTTAATAACCATCTTAAACAAGAATTATTCCACACAATTTATCCTTTAATTTCAAAAGTATTTCTTAATTTCATTTTGTCATAAAACAAATAGTCTGTCTTGAAAACAGCAACGTTTTTTCTATTTAATTCTATCCTAAGAACATATTCCAAACCATTGTTTAATAAGAACGGTGATGTACTCTTCAAAAAAACTGAACTTGCTGGTATTAGGAAATGTATAATAACCAAATGCTTTTCAGGAAATACAAGTGTTAAAAAATTCTTCATGAATCTGTTAATGTTACAAGTACACATTAAGACAATATTCGCTGTAATACATTTTATGATCAAAGGTTCATACTGCTACCTAAACGTAACTGCTCTAAATTCAATGGGATAATACAAAATTATGAAATTTACATTGCTATGTACAGAAATGGTAGCAACTAGCAAATGAAATGAAGTTCCATTTCCCCCTGAAATGAGTGTAAACTTCGTTAGGTGTTGGTATTACCGTCACATATGCACCATGCTCCTTCCCGAGTTCTGGTCGGTTATTATCTACTTTGGCAGATCATTTCAGCTACCTCGCCCATGACGCTTGTCCCTCTAATTTCTAGTAGGCGCAGAGCCAAGTCTTCTTCATCCATCTGTCTTAATCCGTTGCTCATTCTTTTCAATATACCAACATCAAGTTCCTGGATCCACAGTGGCGTGCAGCTCACCATCAAGCTCATAACCCCTGACACATACGCACGCCAGGTTGCACAATCACAGCGAAGAGATACTTTTCCATCCAGTGCATTTGCAAGAAAATCTAAATGAATCCCAAGAACCTTTGGTCGTCGTTTTGATGCTGGTGATGAAGAGTCGATACCCCAGGCAAACGTCCCACCAAGTACAGCAAAACACGCAAGTGCATAACCTCTCAGCATCGCTACAACAACTCCAGGTTCTGCCCCTTCCTGCTCTAACCCTTGCGCTGACAAAAACCAGGAAGGTAGAGTTTCTATAATCAAAGATTGAACCAAACCTGAACCACCAGATATCCAAAGAAACGAAGCCCCAATAAGAGCAGCATGCTTTACACGTGTCATTGATGCAGCAAGAGAAACCTGCCCGTATCTCATCCCATACTTGGTCTTCTTTAGCTTCTCCACTTCACCCTTGGGCAACCCACTGTTAGCTATATCTCTAACGGAAAGCATTAAAAGAGATACAATTTCCTCCGTCAAAAACATGACATCTCTAATAGACCGGTGAACTCTTAAGTAGAGAAACCCAGGAGCAACCGGAGTGATCCCTCTGTAGAAGTGAGAACCAAAGCCATGACCAAGGAGCGTGCCAACACCACCGTTGTTATAAATACAGGCAGAACCAAGTCCAAGGGTGGAAGTGAAGCAACTTCTTAAGAGCTGAACTACAGCATCCCTACTGTGGTGGAAGACAGTTGCAGAAGCAGAGAATACAAAAAAGTCACTCCAACGCTTCACCTTCTGAGCCCACAAAGCACCAACAATGGGCATACATGGCCAGGGGCAACCAGAAGAAAGGGCAATCAAAGATGGTCCAGCCAAAACAACGAAACGCTCGTAAGTTTTATCCAGTTTATATGTTATTGTGAGACTCAGAAAAGCTGCCAATGGCAAAGGAAGTGCAGGTGGAGCATTACCATCTGCTAGCAGCAGTTAGAGAAGCAGTGTCAACTGATCAATTTTGTTCAAACATAGAAAAAAGATACAAGAGATGCTGAAAACTGTCTGGACCACGCAAAGGAGTCCATTTTATGCAAGATTGTTACAGTAGATACAAATAATTATAGGAAATTTTATTCCTGTAAACATGATATGTCTATAAATCATACTATAATAACTTTGGTTTTAGCTACATATCCCTATGATTATAAAGATTCTGAAGATGGTCCTATGAGATCATCACAGATACTCAAATATTCTAAAGATGTTATCCTTGGACATTTCTCATATTCCTAACATAAATAGAAAATGTTCACTTCATTTTTGGCTGATGTTCACATTAACAGATAATGAAAACACGATCTGTAAAAAACTGGAGACGATGACTTCATATTTCTGTGACAATCATATAGCCCCTATCTAATTGAGAATTTACTCATCACCCACGAGTTACTTCCAAAAAATAACTACGAATATGCAGAACATGACAGGTTAGTTGGTCTGTAGGGAGAAAACGGAAAATGCCGCAACAATCACCCAGGAAAGGATAAATTGAACTCACAAAGAAGGATTCATCTAAAGAAAGTAAACTTGACAAACCTATAGCAAGACTAGGGACATCAACACCTGTGGCTGCTAAAATTTTCTTGATTTGTTGCTCAACAATGGATAAATTTGCAGCAGGGCTTGGCCAATCAGTTCCGTTCATAAAAGCAGGCTTCCAAATGCCTCGTGTTACTTCAGCTGACAAGTAGCTTATAATAGTTCCCAAAGTTGCCGGAAGAAAATCAGCCAGATCTTTGAGACCTAGATAAAAATAAGGCAGATGATTTATTAAGCAAACAACAGCCTAACAAAAACTTAAAAAAGAAGACATTGGCAACCCATTTCAATGAATTCCCAAACTTACAATTTTTATATTAGCGTGCAATTATTCCAATAAGTTAATCTATGACAACTTAAAGAAGCATGGCCTAGCCTTCATATTTGAACACACTGAAGTTTTTTAAAAAAATACCTTTTAATATTGCTTGATAATTTTATGGTTCCTTAGCTTAATTGCGAACTTCTACATCACCAGTGATTTTGTCAAACAAGTACACAACTACCAAGACTAGTAGTGAGCACAAACCTATCTGGATTTGGGAGAAACGTAGCAGTACAACAACAAACATGACCAAGTCTTTTCTTACGTCCTCCTCAATTTTAGTTGAACAATCAAGAGGGTGCCTCTTCTCTTGCATCCTCCTCCTTTTGTTTACATTGCAAATCCCCTCTAAGAACTAACTCCTCCAAGCAACTATAATAATTTTCCTAACTACCTTCCCAATCCTAGCAAACACAATTTATTTCACTGACAAGTGGACAAGGAGAATCAAGTGAATGAGATGAAAATTACAAGGGTTTGGTAAAACAATATCATTTTTATGGAAAAAAAAAGCACTTATATTCAATCTTTTCACTTTCTAAGTTATTCCGATAAAAATGAGTCATGTTCAATATTTGATCATCATTAGTCCACAACTGACATTCTCACATTTCAAAACATGAAAGCCTCGTTATAATCCTGAAACAGTTATTAATGATAAGCAATTATAAAAAAAAAAGCTAGAATATATCCACAAGTGAACTGAGCAAACCTGTAGCCAATTCACGGGGAGAGAGTCTTCCATGTGCACAAGCAGTAAGAGCAGCATAAAGAACAAATGGAGTTGCTTCAAGGATGTCCCATGCAGGCACTTTGAGTTTCATCAGAGCATCATCCAGTGAAGAGCAAGATGAATTACTGCTTCCTGAAGTTGTAGGCGTCAATGACTGAGCACTTCGATTTATTTTCTTGCATATCATGCTTAGTAGCGCT